TATATAAGGTAGTGTTACAGGGGCAATTGAAATTTTCGCCCGATGTTAAACGTAGCGACCGTTGGTTCAACTTTGTGTTGTTTTGCTCTAGATTGCACCGTTTGTGGGCCTGTTGAATGAATTTATGTCTTGGTTGTATGAAAGATCAAAAAATTTGAATTTTCTGGCAAGTTGTACAACTTATCGCTACATTAATGGCCTTGTTGTACAAACTTATTTAATTTGCGTTTATTTTGTACACTAAATAACCGAAAGTGGATAACTCAGCTGAAATAGGTACGTGCTTTCGTTGATTTTTTTTATAAATGTAAGCCGAAACTATGAAATTGTAAAAATGAGATTTTACAATGAGACTGCTCGCAAAATTGCAATGTTTGTAGGCAAAACGTACAACTTGATTGCGGATTGATTTGAACCAACGTTTTCGGCTTGCATTATGTCAAAAGGATGTGTTTGTTGTAATTCCTTCTGTCATTTACTACCATTATGCGTAGGCCAATTCATGAAATCATTTCATGCGTTTGAGTAGAAACTGAATGAATGAACACCATTTCATCATTACAATTAACGCGAAATAGAGTTGATGCACTTAGTTTTTACTCAGATCGATGAAATGATTTCGTGAATTGGACTACGCATACATGTGATACTTATGCTTTTAATTTATAAGGTAATTTTATGTTTTTATACTCTTGCTACCACATGAATATATGAATTCGTGATAAGAATATATGAATTCGCCTTGGAAGATAGCAAGCGAGTAAGAATAAATGCCGAACAAAGGAATTTATCTTCTTTCAACTTAAATAAATGCATTTTGCAAACAAAAGTGCATACGTTACTTAGTGCCTTGGTAATGGCGAATTCGTAAAGATCTATTGATTGCATTATAAACATTTTCCTTTAATTTGTTAAACATACAATTACTTCCATTACAACCCGGTCCTATGGATGCTAGAAGCGCGAATTCATATAAGGTGGTGTTACTGGAAAATGAATAAATAAATTATATGTATATCAGAAAATTAATAAGAAGAAATGAAATTATTGCTTGATTTCTAACCAAACCTATGTATTTAACTCAATCGCCTAATGGTTTGCCGAACGGTAAACATATGTTTACACATCCAATTTCGTGATTAGGTACCTGGTACTCACACCTTTTTTAAAAAGTTTCACTTCTATCATGTGTCCGGGGTTACACACGCATTTTTATACCCGAGCGCACTTGTGCACAAGGGTATATTAATTTTGTTCGCATAACGGTTGTTTGTAACAGCCAAAACGAATCGAGATAGATATAGACAAATGTATACATAAATGATCAGAATGAAAAGATAAATCGATTAAGCCATGTCTGTCTTGCCCGTCCGTCTGTCCGTCTGTCCGTGTAGTAACCACGACCACTTCCCATATAACGGTAATTTCCAGAAATACGAAAACTGCGATATTTTAGTAACAACTGAAGATAATTCACTCAAAATTGATATTTGTGATAATTTTCAGACGAAAAATAAGAATATTGTAAATTTTTGGAAAATGGGCGTAGCCACGCCCACTTATGGTTACATGTGTATATCTTGGTAACCGCTCCACCAATTTCTTCCAAACTTGGCACAGTCGTTGGCCTTGATACAGCACACTAAATAGATGAAAATTTTAAAAAGCGGACAATAACCACGCCCACTTCACATATAACGGTAATTTCCACAAATACGAAAACTGCGATATTTTAGTAACTACTGAAGATTATTCACTCAAAATTGACATTTGTAATAATTTTCAGACGAAAAATAAGAATATTATAAATTTTTGGAAAATGGGCGTAGCCACGCCCACTTAAGGTTACATGTGTATATCTTGGTAACCGCTGCACTGATTTCTTCCAAACTTGGCACAGTTGTTGGCCTTGATACAGCATACAAAATGGCAGAAAATTTTAAAAATCGGACAATAACCACGCCCACATCCCATATAACGGTAATTTAGAGAAATACAAAATCTTCGATAAACCAGTAAATATTAAAGCTAATTTATTCAAAATTGATGGTTGCAACAATTCTTTACCAAGATATACGTTTATGGTAAAATTTTGGAAAATGGGCGTGGCACCGCCCACTTATGATCACATATATGTTTATCGGTAACCGTTCTACCAAACTCGGTATTTTTATTGTGCTTGCCAAATAAAAGCAAAACGTTGGAAATTATTGAAATCGGACTAAAATTACGGCCGCTTTTTATATAATGGCAAATTTCAGAAATGCTTGAAACTTCAATAATTCGAAATTTAAGGACGCTAATTTACTCAAAATTGATACACCCCGGCTTACCGGCAACATATATTTAATACTTGCGCCGGGTATTTAATGTTCGGCTCCGCCCGAACTTAGACTTTCTTACTTATTTTAATAATTCACTTAGTGGAAGTTCAAGATTTTCCGTTACAAATCAAAAATAATTTCTTATTTGTCAGACCTCATATATACCTACATATCTCACAAAATCATTAATAGAGTTGCCAAATAAATTAATTAAATTACTTAATATGAGTGTTTTGGCCACAAAATGGACTCATTTTACTTATTGTGCAGAATTAATGGCCTTTTCACCTCCATTTTGTGTTGTCATAAATGCTGCTGTATCCACATAAGTGAAATCATTTGCCTATCAGCTAGAGCAGTAACGTAGTATGTACTCTCTGCATTGTTTTTTTAATCTTACAAAGCCAATTAATTGCCTTTATGGCTAACTGGCTTCCCAGGAAAATAGCAATGTTGGCTTCAGTTCGTTCTGCCGTTAAAACTATGTGATACGCATCGCTAATAGAAAATGTTCCAGTCTAAAATCTTACCTATACTTCTGCTCTTTCCCTGATGGGAACATAATGTAAATACTAAAATTTTGTCCTAAAGAAAAACGTAGGACAGATACAGATTTGTTGCGAATAAATAAATAACTGAAAGGATGCAGAAGCAGTTTCCTTAACCTCAGACCACGGTGTGAAACTTTTTGTACATCCACCCTACCAATTTAGGTCTAATGCCCCAGTTCCGCTTCATTAGTTTCCGGCAGCTCCAGATAGCGGCTCTGGCATTTTAAATAGTTTAGGTGCAGATTTCAAAAGAGCTTGTTATCAAGGATAACTCCTAGATATTTGACCTCTTCGGAGAAGTGTATCTTTTTTCCTTGAGGGAATGGTTTTAGTAATTTGCCCTTTTTCCCTTTCCAGGAGAAAATGTCTATGCTAGTCTTCTTGGGGTTCATTATTACTGCACCATTTGGCGACTATGTTCAGAGCACTCTGCAGGGGAATGAAGATAGTATCTCTGAACGTCGGAGCCTTTAACAGTAAGAAGGCCGACTTATTCGTCTACTACGATGCACCATAGTATAGGGGAGATGGGCAACCGTTCGTAGCTAAGGATATGAATCTTTCCTGTTCTGCAGTGAATGTAAAGGTTCTGGGTTTAGGGACGTTTGCGACCTCCACGTCCAAGAAATATCCCAACGCCAACTCTTTGTCCTCTAAAGACTTCTCAATTTTTCTTGTGAGACTCTGAAGAACGTGGATAGTAGATCTTCCTCAAAGACAGACATATTGGTATCAATACAAAGGGTTCCGGGTAAGGAACTATCCCTGATATGCCTGTTAACGATTCTCTTCTTGGTTTTTAGTAGAAACGACGTAAGACTAATACGTAGTTATGACTTTGGTGGATCTACTGGTTCCCGCCACCTTTGGGATGTAGCGGACTGTCATTTCCTGCAATTGTAGAAGAAGGGACCCCACGCAAAACATGCTCTGCAAATTGGTATTAGAAAGGTCATTAGGCGGGAGGTCCCTTTTAAAGATGAGCTGGGAAAATGCCATCTGTTTCAGGTGCTGTAAAGCCGCTTTCCTTTGAAATCACGCTTCCGGTAAAGGGCCACGCTTCAGTAAAAGGACGAGTTGTAAAAATAACAGGGGCACCTAGAAGTTTAGTCCGAAGCTTTAAACATCTAGCCTTGGTTGATAAGCGTACCCTCAAAGTGGAAAAGTGGTTCGGTTCAAGGCATTTTTTTTTTGTTATTCATGGCCTTATAACAATTATATTCTACAACTTTATTGAGGTTGAGGCCATTTATAATAAAAAAAAATTTGTGAAAAAACAAAAATCGAAAATATATCCACTTTATCGGACTCTTTTCTGAGCTTATGTCTAACAAATTTCGGTGTAAATATGACTCTCGAATATTAAGGGCTCGATAAAATGCTTTGATGAAAAGCCTGGTGTATATGAATTTTGTTTTGAAGGGTGTCCCCGAAATGATTTCTTTTCGATGCTTTTGATGCTTAAGGTAGCATCACATGCTCGGTTGCCTTGCTTGTCAACAACAGCTTTGTGGGAAACTTAAAAAACTACAACACTACTGACTAAACGATTAGCTAGTAGATAAGATTGACCTTTTCAACAACTCGAATGCAATTATTAAACAGACAATGACATGTGAACAGACACCAGCATACTCGTATGTATTCAAACACATACATACACACATGGAATTTTTTATTGAAATAACTTAGCTCAACTTGACTAAAATGGAGCGCTCATCTTTCAAGAAGATGCCTAACAAATAAAAGTTTAAAGCAAAAAAATAAAATCAAGCAGTTTGTAGCTTTAACCATAAATGGATTGCCGTTCACGCTGCATTTTGTTTGAAGGTCAATTGCATATTAACCGAGTGGTGGCGACAAACTCTAAAGCACCATCGCCAATCTCTCAATTACTTAAAGCATCTCAGAAGCGAAGCTATGTATACAAATTCAATTACGATGATCTTTCAACCAACTAAAATCGATCTACAGTCATAAACTTTAATTTTATTCTAACTAATTACTACTACAGTATGTTCATATGTATAACTCTTTAACTTTTTTTAATCATTTAAAATTTTTTTATCTTTCATAAACTCGCAATATTAGTAACGTCTTTCCCATATTCTTCTACTCATTCTAGCTATCACCGTTCAAGCGCAAACACAACAAAAACGTTCATCGCGCATCACCAGCTCGCGTAGTTTCGGCACAAATGTCAAAGCGTCCGCCTCGAATGGTGTTAATTTCGTTTGCCCCGAAGAGTTTGGCTACTATCCGCATCCGTCCGATTGTACACAGTATTATGTGTGTGTATTCGGTGGTGCATTGCTCGAAAGTTGCACCGGCGGATTGATGTATTCGCATGAGCTACAAACCTGTGATTGGCCATGCAATGTGGTTTGTGAAGTTGTCGATAATAGCGCCGCGTCCCTAGGCAGCACTGGTAGCGGTAGTGGCACACGTTCGGGCAATCAACAACAACAGCAACAATCAATCAACAGTCAACAGGTGCCAAGTCGTATACGTTTCGGTTCTGCCTTCAGCAGTCCGGCGGGCACAACACAGTCACCGAAGGCAACAGTGCCACCGCAATACCATCGCCAGCCACCGCAGGTCATACAGGCGCAGGTGCAGTCATTACCACAGCATGCGGGCACAGTGATTGGTACGCGTCGACAGCCGAAACCATTCGATACGCAAGACGATATAGCGAAGGTTAGTGGGTGGACGGGTAAAGAGTGTTGAAGGGGGAAACGGTTAGATTTCAAATTAATTGAGGTCAGCATTTTTAGGGAATAAAATTATTTAAATACTTATTTTATAACAATGATTAATAACTATTTATTCTTTTTATTATTCACTAACAAATCATCATTTATTTTTTTGAATAATTTGAAAGCAGTCTTTGAATTACAGACCTGAAAGTTTCATAATCTTCGATCTTTTTCAGTTCGCTGAAGCAGCTTTGGTTTTATTTGCATACATACATACTAGCAGACCCGTAAGAAGATATTTATCCATTCCCGAGAGCTCATCGGGAGTGTGGAAGAAATGGGGCTCGAGGTTCTTGAGCCTTAGGTTCGCAAAGGCAGGCCACCAGAGCAGAAATTGTTGAGATGATACCACCTCAATGTCCTCCATGCAGCTGGTGCATTAAGGGTCATCGACAATATTCAGCTTACCTATCAGGCAATGACCAGTTAGTTAGACCAATAAAGAGAGGTGTAATTTGCTTAGTCCGAAGAGCTCTCTTGACCGCCTCCGGTCTACACGTGACCAGAGCGATTTAGCCACCTTGCATTCCAAGGCCGTCGCCCGGCACACACTGACCTGACTAAACACCAATCTGCGCAGAAGTATACCGCATCAGGTCCGGCGGTGCACCCAGACTTTCTCTAACAGGGTACAATTCCTCAAGGGTTCCCTGTCGGCCATGCAGTTTCCCACGATTTCGCGGTCGATAAGGAAGTCAAACAATCCCTCACCGTTTTCGATCTATTGGCTGTCGGAGTGGATATTCACCTCTTTAACCAACCAGTCCCCAGCATCCTGTATTGCGGCTACCTTTGCTTGGAGAGTTCTTAGCAGAAGACACCTCACCCTACCTTAACATTCAGATTCGATCCGTCCGTAAATATGTTTACAGGACCCCGATTCCAGATGCTGCACCCTTCCCAGTCCTCGTTCACTGAAATGTGGGTGGGTTAGGAATGCCTTCGGACCACAAGCGGTATGCAGTGGTATGTTTAAGTCGGTAGCTTTTTAGAATACTGGCGTGGCCATAGCTCGAGACGAACTTAAATTAGCCTTACTGCGGCGCCACAGCGACAGCTATTCCTGCTAAATCTATGGACACAACATTAAAACATAGCATTGAGCGCCAGAGTAGGAGTGGTCCGAAGTGTCCCACTGATCCCAATTAAGGCAGCTCGTTGCACTGCTTCCAGCTGCTTGACGATGAAGGCCTTTTCTAGTACATTCCACTAGAGGAGTACCCCATATGTATAATAAAACTGGGTTAATTTATGTCATAAAGCCAATGAACTACTTTCGGCGAGAGATCTCAGCGGTTGGCAATGGCTCCTCTTGGGCTATTGTAGTATTTTTGATTCTTTCCTCTAAGTGTGGCTTCCAGGAAAGCTTTCTGTCAAAGATCAATCCCAGATTCTTCACGCTGTCAGAGAGACCTATTGGAAGACTTCCCACTGAGATAAAACGGCTATTCGGTAACTTCTACCTCCTAGTAAAAATAACAAGCTCTACTTTTCTAGGGTTCACACCCAGCTTGCAGCTAATAGTCCAGTTTTCAACTAAGTTCAGGTAATCCCGCATAAGTTCAAATAGTGTTTCCAGAAACTTTCCCTTTGTTATCAGTGCTACATCGTCAGTATA